GGCGCGGGCACGGGGCTGGGCAGCGGCGCCGCTGTCCCGGCAGGTGCTTCTGTCCCTCCCCCGCCGCGCCCCCCGCCGCTTCTTCCGCCGGGACCTGCGGCCCCGCTCTCCCCCAGACTGTCGGGGCCGCAATTCGCCTCCCTGCCGGTCACTCGCCCGCTCCGGACGGGCGCTGGAGGCGTGGGGACGTTCCGTGCCCATCGAAGCGCCTTTGCGGTTTGTCTTGCCGTCGCTGCCCGCGCACCTCTCGARATCTCCTCCACCCACGGTTCTCCAGCACCTCATGTCAGGTGTCTTTACTCCAGATATCTTGGGAAATGCCGGCAAGGTATCAACTGCCTCGCCGCGACATCTGCCCCTTGCTCGATGTTGAGCGAAGGGACAAAGGTGTCGTGGGCGCTGTGAGGGGCGGCCGAGCTCGCCCCKCCCGCCCCGGGCCTTACCTGGTGCCGCCGGGCACTGCGGCGGGGAGAGGCGCGGGTTTAAAGCCTTGATTGAATCACCCAAAGAGATGGAAATACCCGAACAAGCGTTTATGGTATCGTTTCTGTTTGCTYTAAAATATAAGTGCAAATACTGCAGGTGCCTACTTTTCATTTAAGTAAAACTTTGCTTAAATTAAAGGGAAAAAACCCCAGCAAAATCAAAACGGCCACCCCCTAAAACCCAACCAACCAACCAAACGAAAACCAAACYAAACTAACCAAAGCAAGCCCTGCACTGCAGAGCCTGCTCCGTTTGCTCGCATCARTGCACACACGCGCTGTGGTGTGAGGTACCCGCTGGAGCTGATGGGCACTGCACGGGTCACTTGGGAGTCGTGGGCAGAGGGCAGAGGTGCGTGTATTACAACAAACGCCTTAAAATCGCATTTTGTGCCGGCTGTCGGCTTCCGCTGTTTGACTTCTGCTGGGAYGCTGTTCCCAGAAATGAACTTTCAAATAAAAGTAAGCTTTCAGACCTCATAGGAATTGGAATTTGCCGGGGCAGAAAATTAAGTGATTGTGGGCGCTACAGACAGCTCTGAGAGCGACTGGCTTTGGGAGGCAGCTGCTCAGGACAACTCGCTTTAAGGTTTTTCTAGTTTGTTTGTTTGTTTGTGGTTTTTTGTTTGTGTTTGTTGTTGTTTTCGGTTTTTTTTTGTTATTTGTTTGTTTTGACAGGTCGCATAAAAATGCCCTTCGTGAAGTATTTCTTCTTATGATTGCAAATAAATATACTTGAAATGTTGTGATCCGTTCAGAGATACATCGTCCGTACAAGCAAAATAGGAAGYATGACCGGGTAAGTTTTCCTAATTTATTGTTTTTCCGGAGTTTAAATCAAGCAAAGACACAGAAGCGGTGAGAACACGATACCCCTTTCCCCCACAGCTCTGATCGTTCGAGAAACACATTTTTATGCTTCCCACACAGGATAACGGTGGCGATGCTTCCCTCATGACACTRTTTTCTCCTACGGGAGCATCTCAAATGCAAAATTATTCAAGGCGGATGATGCAGATGTCAGGAACTTCTGCTGGCGTTTCTCTCAGCTTCTCAGGATCCCGAGATCTTGTCAATAAATTCCTGCTGGTCAGCAGGCTCCCTCCTCAGCTGGAGGTGCCCTCGAGTGGGTGGGTCACCTCTCGCCTCCGCGACCATGGCTGCCCAAAGATGTCCCTGAGCTCCCCTCCCGTTCGGTTTCTCCTGCAGGTGCAGTCTTACTCGGCACAATTTTTGTGTCAACCCTCGGTCCCGTTCCTCAGAGCTGAAGGTTTTAAGAGAGAAGGGACATTGGCTCATTTTTTTTTTTTTTTTTTTTAAGAAATAAATCTGGGAAGCGGGAGGGCGATGCCCTCGCTGCAAGCCAACGGGGCAAATCCCGCTCCCTTCCCGGTGCCCCCGCAGCCCCGCTCCCGCCGCCGTACGGAGGCGGTAAAAGCCGAGCTCAAGCCCAGCCGGGGCGGGGGAGACGGTGTTGCCTGGTCCTGGGCTAATGTTTCAACTTCTCCGGTGGCGAGACCAAATTGCTCCGCAGAAACTTTTGTCACATGGGCCGCGGTGCTTGCAGCAGTGAAGTGTCCCGGGAATACCTTTCCTCCCCCTTTGAGGTCGAGGGACAGGCAGGAAGAACAGGGAGAGGCATCCCATTTATGCAGGGAAATACGGGAAATGCCTGAACCGAGGGAGACTGGCTGCCCTGCCACACAGCCCCACAGAAACCTCTCTGTCCTTTGTGTGAAGAAAGGCTTTGAGCGAAGATCAAAAAGGACAGAAGAAAGCACTAATTAAATTTTAAGTCGTATAGTCCACTCGGATAGGAAGGCCCTTCCTGTGCCTTGCAGTTCACTCGCTGGAAAAATACATTCACCCATCCTCATTGCAATCCTCTGTTATCTCCTTTAGACWTTTTTCTTTCCTCTGATTCCTTTCATTTTCTGGGGTTTTGTGTTTCTGGCTTGTTCCTGCATTCCTTTTCAGACCTACAATGCTTTCTTTTACATCTTCTTCCCAAAGGCTTAAATCATCCTCCAAACTGTTTGGCATTGACCTGTGYGTGTCACCTTCAATTTTATGTTCAAGAGGTTCTGAGCTGTGCTTGAATTTTTTGGTTTGGAACCGTGCTGGCTTGGGAAGGGCATTAAGGGATTGCCAGGAATGCTGGTATGAGACTGGCAAACCGATGCTGGGCATAAGAATTTTGAAAATACATGTAAAATTGTAATGATTAKTTCAATAGTTAATGAGTCTGGGCTCATCCTTGGATGCTTAGCTCGGGATATTATGAAGACCTTTTTTAGCCTGGAGGTGTATTTTTATTAACATTCTGAAAACTTTTTTTATGTTAAAACATTGAGGACTCTAAAATAATTAATAAAGACAAGAATGGGGCCCTGCTTTCCTCTGCTGCCCATTCACTCTTCTGTTTCACTTGGTGTAGCAGCGCCATTGTGTGCAGAAGTAAACTGTAAAGGATTCAGAACATCTCTTTTGTACCCTGAGAACCAGGRATGTTGATCTGTGTGTGAAACCTGAGGTGTGCTTTCTGCAAACAGAATTTCTAATCCTGTTTCTGTTCCTAGCAGCTGCAGTYTGAGGGTTCATCATCTGTTCAGTCAAGAGGCTGGAGGCCCTGCTTCCTGTTCCATGGGCACACATTTCTTAGAGAAATAGGGATCTTCATGTGAGCAAGGTGCGATTTTCTGATTCACATAAACATTATGCTAATGTTGAATGGAAGTGCCCGATGGGAGCCTGCCTGTAGTCATGTGGCTGCTGTTGAATGTGTGGCTTCTGTTATTGCTGGCTCTGCAGTTGGTGAACATGCTGTTCCTTCCACTTCCTTCGGTGATGGTCATCTGCACATTCTGAGGGTAATCCAGGGCACCACACACACACACACACACACATTGTAGCCATCCTTAAAACCACAAATTCTTCATCTTTCCTTCATGTGCACTTACATTTCGACACAATATTTGCAGGTCTTCATAAATGAAAAAGACATTTTCTGAGTAACTTTATAAAGTGAAGATACAGTGAATTCAGTTGTACCACTTTGACGCCTTATAATTGGAGTAGGATGAAACAAGTAAAATCTGTGGGTTAGAATTTGCATTGGTACCTTTTCTCTTCATTACTCTGGCCTATCTTGGAAAAAGCGATAATTGAGAAATATTTGTAAATGTGCATAACATGTAAAGACTCTCTGTAACATGCTTTTATTGCTAGTCCATAGAAGTACGTATTGCCAAAACAAGTCAGTACTTGRCCATTTTGACAAGCAGGAATATGTCACTGGTGGGTTGCCCAAAATCAGAGTAATTTGTAACAAAATGTAAACACATTTGTCACGCTTTCGTTTCACTGGGCTTTTGAATATCATAAACTAATGGAAATGAAACGTAGCTGTATTTCATT